TCCAGTTTTGATGAACTACAATCTGATCTATCATCAGTACGGAACTGGTGCGGCATATGGGACATTCCTCTGAATATCGACAAGTGCCCTATTCTACATGTTGGCCCCACTAACCCAGAACTATTTAATCATCCTTGCAGTGGAGAACCATAACGACCTATAGGAGTCATTTTCAACAAAAAACTAACTTTGTCCAATCAGGTTGGAGCAGCTGTCCGTAAGACAAACAGTCGCACATACCTCCTCAACAAATGCTGTGACCATCCTGAACCAAGACTCTTCAATCAGCTTTATGAAGCATACACACCTTGAATATGCTGTACAGATATGGTCTCCTCATCTGGTAAAAGACGTTTCACTTCTGGAAAGAGCCCATCGCAATGCAACACGAACGGTTAAAAGTTTCAAGGATCTCTCCTATGAACAATGGCTATCGTGGCTGAGCCTTCCTTTGCTCAGTGACAGACGAGCCAGAGGAGAATCTATTCTGACGTATAGAATTCTGCATGATGACTTCTCTGTTGACCTATCCAACTCATTCCATCTTCAGAACGATGATAGATTGAAAGGACACACCATGGAATTGAAGCAAGAGAATTTTCGAACCACACTCAGAAAATTTTTTTTATTGAATCGAGTATTTTCAAAGTGAAATGCATTATCTCCTAATGTTGTGACAGCTCCCAGTGTGAACAGTTTCAAAAACCGCTACGACTTGGTGCAATTGCAACAATTATAGATATTACTCAATCAGGTATTAATATTGTATCATCAAAGATGTATATAACTAATTTTGAGTTTAGGTACCTATTGGGCAGAATAGGCTATACATCTGCCCTTGTTGAAGATATAATTATAAATTATACAAATATCAAACAGGATAATCGATAACAAAGGAATTAGTTGGTAACAAATTGTTTGTTCATTGTTGAGGAATGTTTTGGGAAGGCTTCACTCAGAGAAATAGTCGGTAGTGAATACCAAACGTTTAGTAGAATAGGCGCCAGTCACTACATTCATCAAATAATATCACTACAAAGTTGTACCATACTAAACTATGAGTATTATACTATATTGTAGTGGTAATATTTGATAAAGAATGGTTTCATATAATGTTGTAGTGGTATCATTCGATGAAAGTTGTGACTGGCGCCTATTTTACTAAACGTTTGGTAATAACTACCATCTTTTTTTTCAGTGTTGGATAATAGCTTATGATATTTAGTTACATCAAATGAATATTGTTGATATCAAACTAACGAGGCCTGAATGAATCGATTTGTCAACAACAAAAAATGTGTTCCCTTAGTGATATAGTTTTTGTTCTAAATAATAATTTCAAAGTCTGGAACCTTCATGATGGTCTTCCGCGAAGTGTTTATTCCGAAAGCACTACTTTTTATTGATTTACTCATAAAGTTTGCCTAACTTTGAATACATATCTTGGGTAACGTTAACGTTAACCTCCTACGATGTTTTCGCTACTAATTATTTATGATGATATTTGGCGTGAGATATTGGTAATTTTTATTTCAATTGATGATGTCTATGAGCCGATTTCAATTTTGGGTACAGAAAACTTCAGTTCAGTCACCGAAATCTGACATATTGCTTGAAATAAAGCCAAGTCGATCCGAAGTGAGTGTTCGTTTTATATATAGGTATTGTTGAACATCATGAAGAACAATAGTTCAATTATATAGACAAAGACCAAAATACTGGATTTCACCATGATTTTATATTGATTCAAAGAAGCAGGATATAATTAAACCAGATTTTCGATGGAAAATATCGGTATTTGGTAAACGCATCTTGATTTTCAGTGATCTTTTGGGGACTTCAATGAATTAAGACCCTTCATTTCATTGGGCGGTTAAAGAGGAATTGAATGTTTCGAAAGAATTATTTGAATGTTTCAAAAGAATCATAAATCAGATGCGTGTAATTTCTATTTCAAGATATTTGGTATATTTGAATTATAAAAAAGTAGGTCACAGTCGGTTGTGAATTAACTTCCTATTTTTATACCCATTCACTATGATAGTCATTTACTATTTACTCATTACTCATGATAAGTGAATTTTCTTAGATTATATAAGTTGATTCAATAATTATGATTGCACATGAAATTATATTATACTTTCGCTATTGTTGATGCATGGTGGTAGTAGATATTGGTGTATAGGCCACAGTGAGATGGAATTTTGTTCTATGGATGCGAAATATACATAGATGAAAGAGATTTCTTGGTTCAATGCGGATCAGTATTGATCCAACCATATCGCGGTCTTGAATGGGTCCAACCAAATATTCCTTTGATTTTTCCTCGTTAAGTTCCTTGACTAATTCATTGAATGAATCCTTGACTCGAATGAATATTGAAACATTTTCACACTACGTTTATTGGTCAAAGAAAGGATAAATTTTATTGTCAAGTGAATCTCCCATCAAAGTTGAACAATGTTCTCCTTGAATCAAGAAGTTCCGAGCAAAGTTACGAACAGATATGTCTCATTATAATGATTGGATATTTCTCCAGAAGATCCTTATTTTCTGGTGCCAAGAGAATATCAGTTTGAAGGAAACCAGAGTACAGCTTATCATTACAGTATTGATGGTCTCACCATAAAAGTAATAGAATAAAATCTTTCACTTGGTGGACAGAAGGCTCAATTATCAAAATTTGGTCATCCTATGGAATCAAATATATAATGGTGAAATTATCAAATAGGTACTGTCTGTAGCTGTTGAAGAATGTTGAACCGAAAACGCAGAGAAAAGAGTAAGATGATTATTTCAAAACTGTTTTCCGTGTTTTGCAGAGTGGCTCGAAAAATGGGAATCATTAACCGTATGCATTTATATAGAACTTTCTCCAAAAAAAACAACATTTTCAGTCGCAGCCAGGCATTGTCGGAAACAAACGGAACTTGAATATGATGAGATATTTTCTGGTTTTAAGAAATTATACCTCAGACGAATGGCCTGTTTGAAATTTGTTAGGTATGATATGTGAGAAGACGACGACAGAAGAATGATTTTCATTGATTTCATTTTTCTGATTCGGAAACGAGTGAAAAATATACAAAGAATGGACAATTACCTGAAAAAAATTCTACAAAGCGCACGATAGATCTGTTTAGTTTGCATCCACTTACACAAGAAAGTTTGCCCATATTGACTAACTCAAGTTTGGCCCAACAGTTTGAATCGTTAATTACACACACAGAAAAAAGAATGATACAAACTACTAGAAACGCTGCATATCTTACCACGAAATATATATTAGCTATATTCCAACCAGAGTATAGCTATTTTGACAATGTTAATCATTGTTGAACATACATGAGACTTATATGTGTTTTCTGGGGCTAGATAAACGATTCCATTATGAATTTGTGATATTGACTTCCATCAAAGTGATACCAATAATAATTCCTCCAGATAGAAAAATGTATATTCACATAACTTCCTTCTGAATATTCAACACAAAAACAACTACTCTCTTGGCTATTTGCCACGTCGAACATAAAATCATCATATCTGTCGTTAAACAGAAGAGAGCATGAAAAATAAAAATCCTCTGAAAATAAGAATTCACATTCTCGAATCGGATGAATGATATGATGTATTATGATATTAAAATATAACTTACCAAAATATTTAGTATTGATGAAATAAAAATTGTAATGTATAGGAGAAGTATACTCGTATAAACTGTGATCTGATTGATGAGCTTAAGAATCATTTGTGAAGAACCAGAAAATCAAGTATTTTATTATCACACAAATGATTTCAGGATGAAAAAAACATTTTATTCTACTCATAATGTTGAATACACTCACACACTCACTCACTCTTTGACATCATTTGGAACACCGTATAGAAAGGTCGGCGACCTTTTACTTTTCTATCGATACTTCCACGGGAAATGTTCTTCGGAAATCTCTGCTATCATCCCTTCACTAGCAATACCATTCAGACGAACTAGACAAGCCCAGTCAGCACATCCTTTCGTTGTCAACCTCGGAAGATGTCGAACAGCACTTTATCAAGACTCCTTCATCCATAGAACGGCTAGACTCTGGAATTCATTGCCTGTGGAAGTATTCCCAACAACATATAATCTTCAAAAGTTCAAAAAAAATCCAATACCTACCTCCTGTCCCTATCCTCCCTAGGAACGCACGATGTTCTTTGAACATTATAGGGATTCCCTTTCGCGCGCTCCAAGCGATAAAAAAAAACAACCAAAAAAGAGCTGATCTCCTCATGATTCGATCAATCTGCAAAAAGTTCGTATAAATTACGTTTCTGTTTTTCATATTGGAACTTCTGGAATTTGTGGAAGATGGGCAAAACTCTGGAACTGTTTCTCTTTGGGTAGGTGAGCTGAAATGAATCATTTGTGCATTCGAAGTGACCTTTGAATCTCAACTGTATATCAACCAGCCCCTAGCTTGCTGCAACAGTAGTTGGGTAGAAGCAAATACTCAAGTCTGCTGAGGTAGACACACAGAAATAAAACCTCTCAGTATCGGTATTGTTCGACATACTATGACGATGTATTTTATTATTTCTGCAATATTCTTCAAGGAGAATTTCAGTTTACACGACAATCTTTGATACCATTCAATTTCGAGTTGTTAGGAATCAATAATGCATGCAACTTCTAGCCTATTCACTTTTCTACTCCACATCTTATAATGACAAATGATGACACTCAAAACTACAGAAAAAAAAATGACTTGTTCACTAACGAAACGATGATGTCAATGAAATGAATCGATAGGTCAATGATCCATTGTGATTTTTTTGATGCCTTCACGACATTGAAGAATCGATATCCTCGAATCATCGTTCAACCAGTATTCTATAGTGATCTTTGATTTCCCTAATGCAATGAAATCAATCAGTTCTCGATTCACATGAATATATAGAAGATAAAATATCATTTCATCATTGACTTGTTAGAATTACAATTTCGTTCATTCTTTCAGACTTTCAAATATGACCCTTGTCCAGCCTAGTCCAGAACTGCAAATCAACATCAGGAAGGAGCTGAATGAAGATGTGAACACCAGAGAGAGCGACCTACAACACATCAAAGAATGGCTTCTCAAGCAACCCCATCTCCCAGATACTTGGGGTAAGCTCCTATCGGGTCAATTAAGGTGAAGTCGAAAGCAATGATTTTGTATACACTAGTCGAATTTTTGCCATATACCTATTTTATGCACTAGCGGGCCGTAAAGTGCACTTTACCGCCTGGTTTTGCGGGCGTTAAGTTGCACTTTACCGCCCGCGGGCTCATTATAACCCACGGGCCGTGAAGTGCACTTTACCGCCCGCTGTTCTTAGTTTCTTGATATCCACATATCGATTCATCAAAAACATATGATCATTTTTCTAGATTCTAATATATCCAGCGGTATATCATAAACTTCTTTATCCGATTCCATAGTCTGGCCATTAGTATTATCACTAATTTTTACTTTTCAGTCAAAAAATGACAATTCAGCTTGTTTATTGGATGTATTGCTACAGAGTATAGACAACAACCATCAGCTTGCTTGACCACGTCAAAATTAGGTAGGTATATATACTGGGTATGCATATTGTGAAATTCTGAAGAATGAATCTCTTCTAGAGACCAAAGAGTTTTACTATTATGATAATTGCAATATCCGTAAGATAATTTTTATATGTAAATCATCCATGAACATCACTCTTCTCTTGATTACTGAGTTGATAGGTAACAAATTAAATTGGAGGGAATATTAGTTTATCGAAATCTACAGTCATTACCATTGAGTCAGAAAATAAACCACTAGTGCATAAAATTTTGTATGTATCACGTGCGTGAAATGCGTTCATAGCCTTCAGCGTGTAATGGCCCTCGGCTAGCGCCATCGGGCCATTACTCACGCCACAGGCCATAAACGCCTACTTCACGCCCTTGATACATAAATAACTATTATATCGATCATCCCGAGTATGAATTGTATTTGATGATATCATTCGTTATTCATAAATCCTAGAAGAGGAAGATAATCAAAAGAGAAAAGTCAAGGAATCCGCTTGCATTCTTCTGAACGAAGACAATAGCATTGCTTCCTGTTCAGTTAATATAGATTGAACTTGGTATTTAGTACTAGAAACTGAACATGAGAATGGAAGATTCGAGATCAATTGATGGAAATATTCTGTAATTTTGAGGTATACTATCATCACCCATTTATATTGTTGTGAGTATGGATTCAGAGTTGTCTGAAGAAATGGAATTGACTGTTGAGGTTGGGCAAGGATCGATACTTGGTCCACTACTCTTCCTTATTTTTGTCAACGACTTACCAGAATTTGTAATTTCTGGTGATATATATGTATGCTGATGATACATCAGTAATTATACACGGTAACGACTTGCTAGAATTTGAAAATAAAGCAAATATAGTAATTATGAAATTCAAATCGTGGTGTCATAGGAATTCCTTAATAATGAATGTACATAAGACAGTGTTCATGAATTTCTCACTGATAAACACAAATATTCTGCCAAAAATTGATGAAATTGAAACGAGTGACCATGTCAAATTTCTGGGCACAACCATTGATACCAATTCAACTTTCAACAAAGAAATAGACTCCTTATGCTCCAAACTTGCTAAAAGTACTTTTGCCATTCTGAATTTGAAAAAAGAAATAAATCAACGCGTTTTGATAACATGTTATCATTCTCTTGTCTACTCTATCTTGAGTTACAATATGATAATATGGGGCCAGGCCTCAGAAATCGACAGGATTTTTGTTATACAGAAGAGAATCGTCAGAATTTAATTCGATTTGCAATACCGAGAAACATGTAGGGAAACCTTCAGAAAACAGAAAATATTAACAATAACGGGAATATATATTTTCAAATTATCCTGCTTGATGCATAAAAATAAAAATTAATTCCAACTCAAGACAGACATACATAAGTATCACACGAGAAAAGCGCAAGAAATTCACATTTCGAATTTCAATACCAGTTCATACCGGAAATCGCCGTACTGTGCTGGGAGCTACATATATAACAAACTACCAGTCACAATAAGAAATGCTACAACATTGAATATTTTCAGGAAGAGAATTCATTTTTTTCTAGTAGAAAACAGTTTTTATAGCGTGAAAGAATTCTTTCAAAAATGTTGAATATTGGCCTACGAGATTACTATAGAAGTAATAAAATTTTGTGATTATTTCTTTGCCCGTTTGTCATAAAATATGTGTGCTTTATCGAAATATTATACAGATGTGTATATGCATATATGTATATGCATGTATGTTTTGTTAGTGTAAGTTGGTGTTTATATCATATTCTTAGTTTATATTATTTTATTTATACTCATGACAAAACCTTGTGTTCTTTGTAGCACTTTTATGGTAAATGAATTATTATTCTATCCCATTCTATTCTATACCAACATCAGTCTGTCACTGAGTGTCAAACTATACGAAGACAATTCCGGAACGTCTAAAGATAAGTGGAAATCCGATATTTCCTCCATATATCTATATTTCCTTCCGTCAAGAATTTTCCAAAACAAAGTGTCACTGACAAGCTCATAAAATTTTTTTTCATGTTCTCTTATGGACAAATTTTTTCTACAAACGGCAAAAAATGACAAGGTTTGCGGATTGATAACGAGCTGCGAATTAACACTTTCTTCAATTGCCTACGTTACCACGACACCATATGCGAAGCAGTGCGCGATGTAAAACGATGCGCGAAGTATACATACTTATTATTCGATTTTCCTTCACTTTAATTTTTTTGATACCCAAATAAAACATATATCTGATTATGTTCTTTTTTTCAGATGAATCACGTTTGATGACCTTCTTACGTGGATGTAAATTTTCATTGGAAAAGTGTAAAAGGAAGCTGGACATGTATTTCACAATGAGAACGGCAGTACCTGAGATGTTTTCCAATAGAGACATCACCAATCCGGAGCTGAAACTCGTAGTAGACGTGGGGTACGTAGAATTTACAGGGTGATTCACCTGAGGTTGAAAAAAAAATATTTTGTGGGTCAGTAACACTCACATATGCGTTCAAGACACTTCGAAGGAATGTAATAAAAGGAAGAATCAAGAATCATCTTCAAAAACGTGACCGATGAAGGCCTTACAATAAATCAGTTATTTTCACAAATGTCATCTGACTGATTCAAGGCTAACTACAGAATATTGATATTTTTCAAGGTTTAGGATAGCGAATTATTAGTGCTGTTATATATTGTTGAAATAGTATATTAATGTGTAAGTGGATATCGATGATCAAAACTTCGAACATTCAGACTTCACGTTTCTCGGTTCGTTAATGTTACTGTCATGTGTTTCCGTCGTAACTTCATTGAGAAACGCGGGTTTTTGAGAGTTGAAATTGAAAACGCTAGATTTTTCTTTGAATTGGCTAATTAGGGTACCAAAGAAAATACTATTATAAGAAAAAATGAAGATGATGATGGTGGCGTGAAGATGTAACGTCGGATGGTGCATCTGAGAATATTATCGTATAGCAGGAAAGAAGTAGGAGAAGGAATGTGCTATCAATTCAACAAATTAGGCCAGAAAAAAATGATTCATCAAAATTTCAGTTTTTTGTTCGGATATCTCTCTCATTGTTATTTCTACAGGAAGCTTTCTCTAGATCAACCAGAGAGAATTCTGATGAATCTGAAAAAATTGATTTTTTCCACAAGGTGCTCACCTTATAAATCACCATCATTCCACGATTTCCTTCAATGTTACTTCATTTCAACCTAGGTGAATAATTATGTATTGATTAAAAAAATGTATCCAGGTAGATGAAACTGTCAATAGTGTCGATGATACTTATATATGCAATACCTGAAAAAAGGCAACATTCTTTGAACCAAATATGGTTGAAACTACGAAGTTTATTATAGCTGAAGGCAATTTTCCAAGCTATGAAGAATTTTTGGAATAAGCTAAATGATATCCAATCCAAAAAATGTCACAACATCAATCTTATATGATCTGGCACTGTCATAAGTGAATTAGAGCAATTCAAATAACCATGACTTTCGGTATTTTTTGACCAATCGCAACGAGATTTCAGCTATGGCGGTCAATACGATATGATTTATACATTACATAGATCATCTCAATGATTGTTCAATGTATTATCTGCGATATTCATAAGGTTCAAATATCTCAAAGCAATTTGATGAATACTGTATTTTCAAAATCTATACTAGCGATATTATAAGTATATACTTCCACAAGGAATCTCACTGCTTCTCTGTATCCATCCACAATTTCATCTGGAATTTTGATATCACATTTTCAGTAATATGATGAACAATGATGATTATACACGGTGAATAGTCTGCATTACACCTTCAATGGAAATGGAAATCAGAATTGATAAAATATAATTACATTTTAGTGTCAGTAGTGAGAAAATATTATATATACCTCGAGTGAGAATGCTTTTATATAGCTCTCACATTGTATCCTACGGAGCTTCACGCGCCTCTGCTTGCTATACGGAGTGTTTCGAAAGTAGCCTGCCAAACTCCACCATCAGCTTGTTCGTTCTAACAAAAATAGGAAGGAAATTTCCAATGAACATGAGTCGAGAAATCTCTCCTAAGGGAGCTACGGCCCCCTGGAAGGGGACTCCTGAAGATGATATTTCTTGAATATTTCCAAAATGCCATGTGATAACATGATGCAATTTGATACAAGAACTAAACCTTTCATGCCCAATGCAGTGAACATAAAATCATTTCAAAGTTTCATTCAGGAGTTCATAATACAGGGTGAGACTACATTAAATATAACTCAAACTTTTTCTTATACATACTTTTTGACGATTTAATCTGGGATCAAACAAATCCACACCGTTTCATAAATAAAGGTGCTCTTGTTCCGCATCGATCAGATGTATCATTTTAGAGTGAAATCGATTCGAAAATATTGTCACATCTCAAATATTATACATACCGTTGCCAACTTTTTAATCATAGTGGCTATAAAAAAATTAAATACTGTATTTCTACCAAACAATCTCATGGGAGCGCAAAAAATTGAAAAATGGTGATCAAAAAGCTACTTAAATTTTTGTGTATTTTTTTCAATTCTCACTACGCTTCATTGCAATCTAATGCATATAATATCTGAGATATAACAATATTTTTGAATTGCTTTTACTCGATAATAATACATATGATCGGCACGGAACAGGAGTACCTGTTTTTTGTGAAGAGGTGTGAAATTCCATAATCCGAGATCGAATTGTCGAAAAATAAGCATACAAAAAATTGTTGGCAATATTCAATGTAGTCCCACCCTGCATTATATACTCCTGATATAAATTGTGAAATGATTTCCTTTTCACTAGAAATAATAGTTCTTGTACCAAATTTCACATTTTTATCACATAGTGTCTCAGAAATACTCAAGAAATATCATCTTCAGTAGCCTCCTCAGGAAGCATTTCTCGACCTATGTTCATTGAGAGTTTTCTTCCTATTTTCGATCGTAAAAGGCGCTTGTGAGGTTTGGTTGGCTAATTTTGGGACACTTTGTATAGTAGCTAACTTTTCACCATAGGTGCATGATTTACCATTATATTCCATGTCTTGAAAAAATTCAAGAAGAAAAATCGAGCATTTGCCATTTGTAAGCTATTCCGAACGGTAAAACGAATGTGACAAGCTGAAATGCATTCAACATCGAGCATTCTATCAGATTGAAGTACCAAATCACAGGTAAAAAATTTGATAATAAACCCAAAAAGTAGTACCTATCTGTTGTTCCTTTTATACTGTGATTGATTGGTTCGAGTTATAATCAAAGAAACCAACGATTTACCGATTTTGTCATGCATGAGTCGAAATTTGTATCATCGATTAACGGATGTACTCATTTTATAATGTTCATACTGGAGGCATAACTACTTGATGAGTAGATAAATAAACATATACAATTTGAACAGATGGGTATTTCGAGTTATCGTGTAATCAATTATTGAAACTGCTTTTTAATGGAATGTTTGAACAGAAAATAACATGCTTATTTTGTCTAATATTTGAGAATCGAATAGTCATTTCTTCATTTCCGATATTCTGACTGATTAGTTGAGATGGAAATAAGACAAAGCTAAATTGAATTCGAATAAGAGTAAAAAAGTGGAATTTTGTGTGAAGATGATATACCGCCTATCATAATTTATTTATTTCCTATTTCATCGTACAGCTACATCGGGAAAAAATGTATTAGGAGTTATACCATTTAATGATGTCTGAATTAATTCAATCATTCTGAATATTCAACAGAAATCAACTACTCTCCTGGCTATTAGCCACGTCGAACATTGAATTAAATCTGATGAACATCCAAAAGGAGAACATGAAAAATAAAGAATAAAATCCTCCGAAATTGAGAATTGACATCCTTTTTCAAATCGGCTATTTGCTACTTCGAAAATTGAATGGTATCTGTTGAATATCCAAAAAGAGAGCATAAAAAATCATAATCCTCTGAAATTGAGAATTGACATTATCTCTCAAATCGAATTATTAGGAAGGATAATGAAATGAACCTATGATGTCAGAACATTATGTACTTCTAGTAAATACAAAAGTAACCTATAGTTCGAACAAAATAGAAACAAACAAAACTAATATTCTTGAAAATAAAAGTATTACTGAGTCTCAATTTGAAGGTACTCACAAATATCACAAAATACAGTGACATAGAGGTAGTCATAGGATTTGAGTATTCATAAAGAACATGAAGGAATAGTAAAAATGATCAACAAAAATACTGATGTTAGAAAATTTAACGCAACAAACAAACTGCTATAACAGAGGTATAATAATATACAAAGTTGTTTAAAGTATTGTCATTTTTTGGTTTGTTTATATCATTAGTACCTATATGTTAATTCATAACTGAATATGTTGAATTTATTTGAAGAGAGTTTGCCAAAATATCATGCAATTTATAAGTGTATGTGAATAACCCAATCAGCCAAAGAACGTCTTAAAGGCGTCTTTAGGACGTACATGTCGGGACATAAGTACGTCTTGAAGACGTACATATTACACCCAAGAGACGTCTTCAAGACGTCTTTTTTAGGTGTTTTTGGTCCATGACCTCAAATTGATCTTTCAAATTACGGAAAAATCACATAGTTTCAGTTGATTTTCACCTGTGCACTGAAGTTAGCAACAAGTGCAGACAAGCAAAAAAAAAAGGAAAACCCATTCAAGTACTAACCGCGCTCTTTGTTGCTTGACTTCGATGATTATACCATATTTACTTCTCCTGTTACTCTGTTTGTTCTATATATCACATAACAAGCTTTTACTTAGTTTAACATGTCCTTGTGTCTGTTTGTAATCAAAACGTGCGAGTTATTAAATTTGACTCACTTTAAATCGTCCGATTTATTTGAAATTTGGCAAGTAAATATTATTCCGGTGACAATTCGTTGTGATATTATTATTGAATGGAAAAAAACAGAATGGCAGATAAAATATGGCGGACGATGTGGCATATGGTTTTCTGATTATGGTCTGATCTGATTCAACATTGGCATCTAGAGGATTTCGGGATCAGAGATTATAATTCCTTTTGTCGAAAATGAAAAATCCAAGATGTCGGCTTCAAAATGACGGACGAGTTCTGTGATTATAGTCCGATTTTATTCAAAATTGATCACTATGGGACTTTTGGGGTCGGAGAATATGTTTTTTTTTTTGAAAATTCGAGAATCAAACACGAAGGCTCCAAAATGTCGGACGAAAAAATTCAAAAACATCACTTTTGTTGAAAATAAGAAAAAACTGAACAATTGAAAATAAAAAACGTGAAGAGATGACATTTTGTTTTTCTTCAGAAAATAACTTACATTATTGTTCTATAAGTCGAATTGACGTACTGGAATGTACGTCTTTGAGACGTCTTTTATACGACATGGGAGGAACGACGTGCATACGACCTGAAATGTACGTCTTAAAGACGTAAATTCGTGTACGTCTTTAAGATGTACATGGATTTACATCTCAAAGACGTACTTTATACGTCCCTGGACGTAAAGACGTAAGTAAGTCGTAAAATGTACGTCTTCAAGATGTCTGGTGCTGATTGGGAACTGAAGATCGATATAGTGATATAGATGATGAACAAAATGAATAAGTGTCGAAATATTCTTCAGTATATTATGAAATGTTTCAGTAGATTAGTAGGTAGATCAATATGCAAATCAGGAAATCTACTGAAAATTCAGTAGAACTGGCAACCCTGCAGCGGACGAAAAGTGTTTGCGGACGAAAATTCAGTGTCTGCGGACGGAAAGTATTCGCCTCCGAAAATAATAGGTTTTTCGTTCGGAAATTAGAACGTTGAATGTGATTTTTTGTAGAGGTCGGCGAAAAAATATAAACAGGGTGTCCCATTGGAAAACGAAAAAACTTCAATAGTGGGTAGAGCTCATCAAGGTGGTTCTGGATTTACTATATTTGTAGGGTCTCGCGAGTTCTATATCCGAGATATAGGGTGTTTTATCAATTTTGTTCAATTCTTTGTGAGGACATAACTTACGAACCACCCAGTATATTCATTTGAAATTTGATACACAACTTCGCCTTCTTCTACCAAAGCGACTCTAACCTATCAGTCACGAGGAATATCCAGGACCGAATCAACGATAATCGATCATATATCTGGACCCCAAAAATATCACCCTGTATTTTCGAATTTCCAAAATCCGCTAACATTTTTGGGAAGTGCATGAAAATCTGAATCGTATGATGTACTTTTCATTGTTCCGCATGCTATTTCACTAGGTAATTTCTGATTTTGAATATAAGGTTTCATGCATTTTTAAAAATGAAATGTTCAGAGTTTTTTCAATCGAATAACAAAAACCATCACGAATCACCCAGTATATTCTTTGAGAATTTGGTACACAAGTCCTCCTTCTTCTACTCCAGCGACTCACCTATCAGTCACGATGAAAATCCAGGTCCGGATAAACGAAAAATTATGATATTCTGGGCCCGAAAATACTGGAATTTTCGAATTCCGAAAATCCGATTCCATATTTGGAAAGTTCACAAAGAGATGAATCGAATTGTGTACTTTTCAATGTTCCGCATGTTCTTTTATTTATTTTTTATATATCTGACGGTTTGGCTGATATCATAGAAGACCAAACTATTGACTTACCCTGTATACTGGGCATTGCGTTCGTCATTTTCCGGCCAGTTCATTGGCGGATAGTCGTGCCAATCTGGCAACATATAGGAAGGAGGAAACTTGGCCAGTAGTAGAAGGATGGATTGAAAATTCATACAAAAACGTGAACAACATTGACTGACATCTCTGATGTTGCTGTTTTTGCCCAATCTACAAGTATAAAAAAAAACCTTCATAATGATGCGTCAGGAGAAATTGATATTGCAGGTCGATCACACGTCATATGAAAACAACGATTACAAAAAGACCGGTTTCAGAACTGGTCATCTTTGGACTCTTCTCTGCTTCTGTTAATCTCAGAATGCTACCCCAATGAATACGTAAGATATGGGGGAAGGAAGGGGTTGTGCTTCTATGAAAAGGAGAGTGGGACAGAATTCATTTGCTAATAACTGAAAAATGTTCAGGAAAAATATAGTAGTCAGGATGGCCATAAAGTGTATTTTCGGTATATCTCCCGCTCCTGCAAACTTCACGATCCTAACTCAACAATAAATATGTATCTAATGTTCCAGAACCGAACTTTCGGCAGTTTTTGTTGAACAGCTATTTTTTCTTTAGTCAAATACCGCCGCTACCGGGCCTGACCCCGGAAGGCAGGAGGGTCATTGTCCTCAGAGGCAAGACCCCCGAAGTGGAGAACTACAACATCGCAGACATCTGCAAGGCGGTCTTGATGATTGGTGACGTCCGTCTGGAGGCGGAACAGACCGGCGTCGCAGGAGACGTCTACATTTTGGACGCCAGCGTCGCTACGGCCAACCATTTCGGCAAGATCAACCCGACGCTCATCAAGAAGTTTCTGGTGATCGTTCAAGTGAGTATAGATGCTTCGTTCCACGAGAATCATTATTGCCACCAATATTGTTCCGACTCCATATTTTCCATCTCGTACAAGTTTGGTATGATTTAGTCCAACCATTATCCCCAAGAAAGGAAAAAAACCTGCCCAACAACTACTAACCTATTGCCAGCTCATCAAATATCTAAAAAGTTCAATGATAGACAATTTGGCTCTCGTCAACGATGATCAACTGGAGTTCTACTTGCCTACGTCACCTCTATATGGCAAGCTCAATTCATTAGAGAAAAACATGGGGAATCTCTAGCTGTGGCGTTAGACATATCGAGAGCATTCGACCACCATCTCAGTTTTGCCATCTTTCATCGAGTTTTTTATTCAGCACATCGGTTCACGTGGTGGTGGACGGAGTATTGACTGATACTATTGCCATCAATTCCAGCGTTCTACAAGGATCAATTTCGGCACCAACATTTTGCTAACTTCTCATCAATTATCTCTTGAGTGTAACCACTTGCAACATCAACAGTTTTGCAGTTGATAGTATTTTCCATATTGCGTTCTCTTCCAGAATTCACATTTCCTTCCAGGAAACTGAGAACTCACGGTAAAGGCAGATCAACGCTGTCAATGACGATCTGGCTGAAATTAGTGCCTGGGAAACCAACAACCTAGTTCAATTCAATGCCACCAAATTTCAGGTCTGAAAGGCGGAACTCATATTATGCCCGATATAACAATGTCTGGTACTAGGACAGGACAAAATTCATACAGTTTACTTCAATAAAACATTAATTTATTGTAAGAAAATTCACGGGGACATGTTACGAAGCTTCAGAGCTTCATCATCAGCGTTTTTGTTACATAGGAGCACTGTCTGGAGGAAAAAAGTTATGTTCACATATTAAGATTATTGAAAAATGTTCTAGAAAATGATAATGAAGCTAAATGACGCCGCAATTATTCCAAAACCCCTCTGTTAGGAAACTTTGAATTTCATAATTATTATAGTAGTGAGATTCAGATCAAAATTGGAAAAAGTTTCATCTGTTCATGCAGGACTCTCGATTTTTTTTTTCCTTTTTTTTTAACATAACTTTTTTTTCCTCCAGAACAGTGCTCCTATATGTGACAAAAACGCTGATGATGAAGCTCAAAAGCTCCGAAACATGTCCCCGTGAGTTTACTTACAAAAAAGTGTAGTTTTGGTGGAGTAGACTGTATGAATTTTGTCCTGTCCTATTGCCATCACTCCGCTGTAAGATGGATCACCTCAGATCGTTAAGTCTGGTACATACCATCATTCCTACCAAGTCATTTATATCTATGCTTGGAATTTGCAAAACTCAGATTCTTGTTTCGTGCGAAAGGCGAAAGGCTACTTTACACCTCAACATCTTCTGATGATCTAGAAAGCACAGATACGGTACCGTTCTGGAAAACAATGGCGGCTCGGTGGTCGAGAGCGTGAATGCGCTCAGTTCGTATGGGGACTCCCACCGAGACATAGGTTCGAATCCTAGTAAGGCCATGGATGTTTGTATGCTTACCTGACACCGCACAAGTTTCGACTTATGGGGTCTTTGGTCCCAGTGCTGGGACCAACGAGGTAATGCAATTAAAAAAAATACGCTGATGCTCCTAGATTCCATCCAGAGGAGAGTCATTCGCCTAGTTGTTGATGCCACACTCACTAACTCTTTGACATCATTGAAACACCGTGAGAAAGCAATTTTTCAGTTTTTTATATAGATAATCTTACGGAAAACGTTCTTCATAAACCTCGACTATCATTCTTTCACCAGGAATACCCAGTCAGACGTACTCGACAAAGTCAGTCAGCACATATATTGATTATAAACCTTCAAATAAGTCGAACATCTATTGACCAAATCTCGGTAGCCTAGAGAACGGCAAAGCTCTGGAGTTTTTTGTCAAATTGAATAACTAAGAACATCTGGAGATTATCCAAAAATTGAAAAAAAAAATGGAACACCTATATCCTCTTCCTATTCTTCCTAGGTACGCACGATGTTCTTTCCTATAGATTGGGATCCCTTTTTGTCCACTACAAGAATTAATTCGGGATTACAAGAGATTTCAGAGATAATATAAAGTATATTCTATCCACAACAACTAGCAATGATACCGGAAATATGCATTAACACATGTTGGTATCTGATTCAACATTTAAGTGGTTTCTCAGACTTCAAGTCTTCGAGTTCTGTTAGCTCAATTTGATTCTATTTTCATGGATGTCGAGTATTTTCATTTGAAAAAAAAGGTTTTCAACTTGTGAAAATACTTGAATAAACAATTCTGAGTTATACCAATTCTAGATTTCATAAGTAGATAGCCGTTATATATCGTTATAAAGAGCTTCGTCTCCAACCTGTAGTGAATAGTCAAAAACCTTGATTTATAATTTCAGGAAGCGTACCCAGTCAAGCTCAAGGAAGTCCACGTGGTCAACGTTTCGCCTCTTGTTGACACTATCATCAGTTGGGTGAAGCCATTCTTGAAAGAGAAAATCAGAAATCGTATCCATGTTCATCCCAATATCGAGTCGCTATATGAATTCATACCAAAGGATATCTTGCCAGATGTATACGGTGGTACTGCTGGGGATATACAAAAGTTCCATGGTATGTAACGAAATTCTTTCAGGTATAACAAAATTACTTGTGAAATATTGAAGCTTATAAAAGAGACTAAGAGCATCCACGAATAAAATTTCCAATAAGGTGGTGCTTAGATGGTACAGCTTGCTGAGTACTTTTCCTTCTTCAGCTTGAGAAAAATATACGTTGGACAGAGCCTGTCAACCAACTGAAAGGACTATAGGAGGTCGATATCTTTGTCTATGATAGTTAGCCTTCGTCTTCTGTACCTACTCTTTGTTTCATTTCCCTAGCAGATTGGAAAGGCGGCTTTTATTATGGTCATTCGAAAAAGAAGTGTTTTTGAGCGGCTGTTAAAGACATAACTGCAGAAAAGGATAATACTTCCACAGCAATCTTCGTAACCTACCTCATTCTTGCAAATGACTGTTGCTGTACTCTTTCAGTGATGATGGACATAGTCGTAGTTAATATCCCGCGACCATAACAAATAGCCGACTATTATTCTTCTCATGATTCCATCGAAAGTACCTTGTATTTTGACCATTTGATGAGATCATATGAACATTAATAATGTGAAAAACTCTCGAGAGCTCCAGCTCGAGGAAGTGATTCTATGATTGTCTCAATTGTCTCAAAATACAAGGTACTCGAGATGAATAGGGCGATCAATATAAAATCAAACAACTCTGTGTCAAATAAACTATTGATCAATAAGGGTGTCCCACCTATACTATATTTACTTTATGTTCAAAATATCAGTGAAATTGGTCTAGCGTGTGAATATACCATGTATGCAGATGATACAGTACTTATATATTATGAAGGTGAGAATCCTTCAAATTTAGAAGATATAACAAATGAAGACTCGAAAATATTTGAAGAATGGTTCCAATCTAACCATTTATCGATCAATACTAACGAAAATATGATAGAGATAGAAAATATGATTCTTCACCAAAAAAAAAAACAAAAAATTTACCTCAACCTCAAAATAAAAAATGAACTCTTGAAACAAACTGACCAGATAAAACATCTTGGTATTTGGTTTGATGAAAGGTTGAAGTGGGACAAACATATTGATGTTCTGACAAAAAAAATATCTCCAATTATTGGTGCATTGAGAAGATGTCCCAAACTTGATATTTGAACTGCAAACATGATTCTCTACTCTCATAAACTGAGTCGTATCAACTATATAATAAATGTTTGGGGATCCTGTTCAAAAAATAATTTCAATGAAATATCATTATTATATAGAAAATCGTTAAAAGTATTGTATCGTCCCCCATTTGATACACCAACCAATCAATTGTATGGAATAACAAATACGTATTCTTCAGATGAATTATATAAAATTGAAACCCTCAAAATATCATATAATATCATTAATAAAAAATTAAAGTCAAATATTATTTTGATACGGAATTCTGAAATTCATAATCATGAAACTAGATAATATAACTTGTTTCATCTTGACGCCGCTAGCTCCATAATCGGACAAAAAAGATTCACTCATTCAGCCTGAACTGAATTCAATAAACTACCTGATGATATAAAAAATTGCAAAAATATGGGTACATTCAAAAATGAAGTGAAAAAACTGATTATTTCTGAGCGTACTGGATAAAATTGATCATGACATTTTTTTTTACAAATATTATTCTTTGTTTGCCAATTTACAGTTGCTGATATATTTTGAATGATGCTATGTTTACCTATAGGTATATAATTATGTACTTCCTTATACCTATTCTGTCTGGAAGTTATTTGTTCAATAAATAATTAAATGAATAAAATAAATAATTGAATAAAATGATAGTCTCTATTTGTCATGGTCGGGAGATATTCAGGAAGATTATTTCATGAACACTATAAAAATACGAATCATCTTAAGTTAGTGCTCCTGAACTTTCTCTTCTTGTTTGACGAAAATATTGCAGGCTTTGTTTTTCTGCATAATGCGCATCCCTTTGTACCTTTGACTTCGTTATATTCAAATGAATTCATCGTATCTTTTTGATTATCGAAGTGATTCTCCTGTATAGTTCCCAACATCAATCTCAACTTACATTCCTCACAACTCTCCTCATCAAATCTTTTATGATTTGGGCAATCACGAGAGTTGGGGTAGTCGCACAAAATCCATGGTTTTTCTGCTGGCGAAAGAATTTGTATCAATATCTGAACTAATATAATATCAAACACCAGAATATGAAGATTCGATGAAAATGTAGGAGATACAGGGTGATCGATGGAAAGATTTTATTTCGAAATGTCTCAATGAATTTGTAAGTTTCAATAGCGTGAACAAAAAATTTTGTAGTTTTAGGATTTTAGGCATGACAAATACGAATTTGTAATTTATTTTGTGATTGCTAACGAAGAAGGCTAGTGGGACACAGTTACTTCAGTGAAATATATTATTATCATATCTTCTCTTTTCATTTTCCTGGGTAGTCACTTCATATTATTTTCAATTATGATATTAACGAAGTGACCATGAGAACATTCACAATATTATTGATGAAAATAGTCTACAACATCGACAACACACCCACTATAATAAAAATTATTGGAAAATTTCAAATCGAAATGTTCTCCTCCTCCTAAATCACCAACATTTGTTTTTGTGGCATGCTGGGCCGAAATTTTTCATTTTGATGTTCACCATCTGTAGTTCAGACAGTGCCCATTCTCAATTGAACACCCTGTTTACTCTGGAAGTGTCTTGAGACTCGTTTATCGTCGACTCTTTCCCTTTCCTCATCCTATTTTTGTTGAACATTGGGAGAGTCGATTCGTAGGTACTGCAGGAACTCTTTCAAATGCTCATCTCCGCTTTCTTTACAATGACCATGAGTCGAAAACAGTTATTGGGTTGACAGTCACCTCCTTGTTGTTAATTCTCTTCAATTTCTTCTAATTTTCAGAGAATTTATACGGCCACTTTTTGATGTTTTTGCCAAGAATATTTTATCCCCAACTATTCTTGTATTTATATTGACATGATCTCTTCGCTTCCTTTAAAAGGAGTTGTTCCTTGAATCATGCCAACAACTTGGTATAGTATCTTCATTATCTTGTTTCATCTCCATAGTCCAGATGCCAGACCTTCGTTATTCTGAATGAGGTAAAAGGTTTTCAGCGCATGCTTCCAACACAGGTGAGAACGATGGGCGAATATGAAGTTTGAGGTCATGGTGCCTCTGAGAGGTTACAGGGAGCAGAGTTGCTAAAAATACCAACTTACTTTCGTCATACTATGAAGGGTACCATCTCATATTTCATTTGAGATAATATTAGAAACCACGTCATCCATTGCGAGACATGCTACCATGGTGCCTACTCCATGCCAAAAACCTTTGAAATTTGATGAATTTAAACTTTTTCGTTGAAGTATAAAAGCTGAATTTTATAAATGTTGATTGGTTAAAAATCGCAATATCCACTACGAGAAAGCCACAATGCTCAACGTGGAATGAAATTAACATCAATATGGTAGATGACGAGAGAAAAACAACAACATTCCTGGCTGATGCCACGCACAACAATTAATCATCCCGAAATCTATGCATCGATATGTATGAGCTAATGCATGTGTTTCTTTCACTAAATCGAAACCAATCGGCAATAGTAGTAATTCTAATGAATTTCTCACTTTTTTCACTACGATACAAATATACAGGGTGCCCCTAGAATTTGATGAATTTAAACTTTTCCGTTAAAGTATAGAAGCTGAATTTTGAAAATGTTGGTTGATCAACAATTTCAAGATCAACTACGAGAAAGCCACAATGCTCAAAGTGGAATAAAATGTTGAATAAGTACAGAAATGTTCAAGTTACGTCGACATATTTCCATAAAATAAACAACAATATGGTAGATGACGAGAAAAAAAACAAATTTATTCCTGGCTTATGCCACGTAGAACATTGAATTACATCATCCCGAGATTTATGCATCGATATGTATATGATAACGAATACTAATGCAAGTGTTTCTCTCACTAAATCGAAATCAATCGGCAATAGCAGTAATTCTAATGAATTTCTCACTTTTTCTTCAATAATTTTGTGAACTACTACTATAAAAATGTACAGGGTGTTCCTGAACGGTCTTTACAAAAACATCACATATTCCTTCAAAGCTTCAGGATGTCTACGCCCACAAGATGATATTCCTGATTATGATGGAATTTTATGACCAAATGGAGATTTTTCAACGTACCTTTGATGAAATGCCATGAGCCGTTTTTTATGAAGCGAAAACGATTTAGAAATTGTAGCTTCAGTGCCGTCTAGCGCTCAAACCAAGCAATTTAGTACTGAGATGAGTTTGCTTGCATCGAATTGTTTTGGTCTGAAGAATATGTGGTGAGTTCTTATACCGACCGTTCAGGAACAACCTGTGAAGTTTGACCAATTCAAATGCCAGTATACTCCCAAAAAATAAGTTATTCCTGCACTGGTGCGGTAAAGTGACTTTTTTAACACTATGATGAGTGTGGAAAAGTGTATTTTTCCCCATGCAATCAGGAAAAATTTCATTTATTTCAATTTCATCATGATTTTTTTCAGATGAGTGGATGGAAAAACTGAAAGAATACACTCCATGGTTCAAGGAACAAGAAAGCATTAAGGCAGATGAATCGAAACGTCCTGGCAAACCGACCAACTACGACGATCTTTTTGGGTTAGATGGAAGCTTCAGACAACTCTGTATTGATTAGATAGTCCGAATATGAATTTGGTTTTCAATGACTATTTCGTTGTTAGATAATTAATTCATATACTGTATAAATATTCAGGTTTACTCAATATCGTCTATAATGTGATAAGTATTATTTTTTATCGTCATATTCCAATTCTTCATAACTACCTTCATATATATAACTGATGTGTTGATTGATATGTGATGTTTATTATTACCGATCTCCTGTCCTCATTATCATATTGAAATTATACAGGGTGGGAAATAGCGCGTTAGAGTCAGATTGATCGGATCCAATATGACAGCTGGAAATATAACTCAAAAACGAATGTGAATGAGACGACAGGATCTATAACGAGACATTGAAGTCGCATATTATAGTTCAATCAACGAACGCCAAAAAAGATAGAATAGGGAAGATAATCGTGTAGTCGCAAATTGCCGTACAGTGGTGAAAGGAAGTGCTATGAACAACATAATGAAGATCCTGAGCCGTAGGTGGCGATAGGAAAACGTTTGAAGATCATGCATTCAGGTTATTCTTGGATAATTCGAAAATTGCGACAACATACAATTTCCTCTGAGCAAATTGTCGTTTAGTTTTCGTCTACAATGAATAGTTCATGTGATACAGGAGATGGAAAAATCGAGAAGTTACAAAAATAGTGTTTAATGATTTTAAATTCGTGTTTAACGTGAATAGTGACAGGAAAATATACATTGCTCATTGAAATAGTATATTATGTAATAAGTTAGTGTTATGAACTTCCTTTAAGTAACGAGTATTTTATGTATTTTAGGCACGAGCGAGTTTTTATAAACGAGTGTTCCTCACGAACTCATAAATCCTGTCTTCGACAAGATTATATACATAATACTATGTAACTGCATGCAACCAACAAGGTTGGTATTGCTTTGCTCCCAGATACAATTTAGATGAATATGGACTAGAATTTGACCTTTCACATTCATTCATTGAACATGACATGTATTGTCTAACACTTGAAAACTCCTGATAAATCAAAACTATCAGAACATTTAATACAAAGTGGTAACGTTTTTTCCTCCTTTGAAGTTATATACCTATTTTTGAAGATGACAAGGTCGACGACACTCTCTTGTTGGTCTAACATCTCTTCGTAGATTTTCCTCCGGTTCTCTGCGTACAACGATATCTTCTCGTATCGTATCATCATTGTGAGATGTGCCTTCTTGAATAGTTGTATCTTCGACTACATCTTGACTGGACGATGTTGACCCATGAGACAGAATGGATTGACGCGAATCAGAACTATAATTATCAGAAGAGTCAGTTTGCTCCCTAGAAATGTTTTCAAACATATCAAACATGTATCACATGACAAGTTCTGCATGCCAGAATCATTATTATATAGACGTTTTGATTGGTTTACAGTTGAACTAAAAATATTATACATTACCAATTGTTTTTATTATTTCATCTGCCATCCATTTGGGAGTATTCATTCTGTATATCATCGCATATACTGAATCTCCATAATTGAAGATATTTTGATAATGATCTGTGATGGCAGTACTCTTATGATTTGATTTCTACCGGAAAAACAATAGATCAAAGGAAGTTCGCATTTTCCTTCCTAATATCAGCTTTGAAGGTGATCTTCCTCCTGCTGTACTGTTTGATGGTGTTGATCTATATACAGCTAAGAACTGTTGAATTTGATCTTCTTCCGGTTGTCCTTTTCTCTCGATTTTAAGGAGAGCCCGCTTGAACGTGTCCACAAATCTCTCAACCTGTCCATCAGATTGTGGCCAATACGGTGCAGTACGTAGATGATCAATTGCATTCATTTCACAGAATTTCCATTATCTGTGACAATGGTTTCAGGCAACTCAAAACGTGCGAATACCTTTTCCAATTTCTGAAATGTGAAATGAGAGGTTACTGATCGAGTAGTGAATACTTCAGGCCATTTTGAGTGCGCGTCAACGATCAGCATGTAATAGTTACCATTCATCGGACCAGCAAAATCTACGTGAATTCTTTTCCACGCCTTATCTGTTTCTAGCCATGGTGATGCTGGTATATTCGCCTTACAATTTGATTTTGAAAAAATTCTGGAATCACTATTCGATTTCCGAACATCAAACAACCTCTGAAAACCGACAATGAATATTTCCTGGAATAGAATTTCAAAATTTCCTGATGAATTTCGTTTTTATTAGGTCAATTATGCCTGATATAATAGATGATTTCCCAAAGAATTTCGTCTTTGAGGGTTTCGTGATGAATCATTTTATAGTCAATAGAGATAAATTCAGAAATTTCACGAAAAAATTGCCAAACTTTGGTTTCTATGTTCACTGAGGCAATAATATAATCTTCATTTTTCATTGGTTGTGAATTGATCAGTCGAGATAACATGTGTGCGTGTCCAAATTCGGTAGGTTTTATATATTCTATCTTGAAATCATATGTTATCAAAATAAGTGCCCATCGTTGAAGATGTTTCGCTGTAAAAGTTGGAATAACTTTTTTTGTCCCGAAAATTGCCATGGTCTGTTTCTGGAACGAATGATCGGCCATGAATCATTCTATGAGATTTTGTAACCCAAAAAACCAATGCCGCTGCTCCTTTTTTCATTTGATTATATCTTCTTCCAGCATCTGTGGGAGTTCTTGATGCATAATAAATTACTTCGACCAATTCATCGTTGAATCTATGAAATATGCAAGCCCCAATATACCTGAGCTACTCTGGAATAGTCCAAGATGCGTATTTATGGTCAAAAATGTCCGGGATGATTCGTTAATTTCAATTTGAAGGAATGAATCCGAAAGCTCAATTATACTGAAAATATTACAATTGGCTAGTTTTGCGAAGATTTCTTCGGAGGGGTTGGGAGTAGATAATGATGAGTTCTGAGTGAGTCATTGAGACATGTCGAATGATCTCCACAAATCCGAATATCGCCATCTGTTCTCTTCGTAATCACTATGGGCGCCGCTCATTCAGAAATTTTTATTGATGTTATTATTCCAAGTGTTTGCAACCGTTCCAGTTCTTGATCAACTTCTTCAGTAACTCCAAAGGCCACAGGCCTTTTTGGACGGAAAACTGGGACTACATTCTCTTTGATATACAAATTCACTTTTAGTTTCGTGCAATGATATTCACTATGAGCTGCCATCATTTCACTACAGATGGAACTGATTGGAATATTCCACAACCTGAACTTTGTGATTCAGTCAACGCTCAATAGATTCGAACCTTCCACTGGGGACACGGAGCACCTTCCTGAACGGGTCTGTTGATTGAAAGAGATATCATTGACCAAGATATCGACATATTTCCTGATCAAGATATCGACATATTTCCTGTTTATCTCATTCCCGACGTTATTCACTTCATATATAGAATTTGTATTGAAGTATGAGCCAGTATTACGAGAGATGAATTTGTTTTTCTGACCAAGATCACAATAACCTTCTTCCACCATACCATAGCCAGAATCATTTCTAAACTGATTCCCATACTGACGCGATTGTTGTTGAAAATGCTTCTGATTTGACACAGCACTGACACTGACTTTATCAGCTTATTTCTTATTTTCGACCATGAAACTGTCTTTCTTCAGGTTTGATATCCAAATCATGGATAGTTACTTCTTCTGTATCATCATACTCTCAACCTCCGGGAGTAGCTTGGTACGAATCTCTGCATCCTTGCTTGAGAATGAAGACCACATATTGTCGCAACTCAGATGGTTTTATTGGGTTATATGGCATTATTGAGGAGGAACTGCGCCTCCACCATGTGCCGCATTTCAGATGTTGACCCTCTCATAGGTCGTGACTTAGCTACTCGCTTGACTTTTTGACGAGAGAATTCCGATCATTCCATCACCCAACAATATTCATCCCCAAATGGAGAGGATTGTTTCCCCAAAGTACAATCAAGCCATTCATTAAATCATGAGAACACAAAAATGTGCTCAAAGTGCGGAACAGCAAAGAACGAACATGAAACGAGCAAACAACAGAAACAAAGTGATGGTTCTTGGTACTTACATTATGTTATGGGCAGCAGCATCAAAGTCGAGGAAATTTCACACCCCCAAAGTGACAAAGTGCCACTCTGGAAGTCAGCAATGAATAAATGAGTGTTATGTACTGATTTCAATAAAATAATTCTTAGTGACGAATCGAATAACGATTGAACTAATAATGACTTGTGTTGATAATGAATTCCGATAGAACTAATAAAGACCATCCTCATCGATTCGGGTTCTATTCATATTTGAAATCAAGGTAATGCAAGTGCAAAAAAAATCGATGCTAGATTCGCAATTTTCCGCAATGGAAATGATCGTTACCTTACGATACTGCTTACCTAGGTATTATCGCGGGGTAGGCGATTTCTTTGCAAATTATAAGGATATGACGTCTATGAACTCCGCTGACCTGATCGAAACAATAAAATAATGATGAAAGATCTTGTAATGAACGAGAGTTTGAGTGATGTTAATTCATAGGCATTTGTACTTCTTGACAACCAGACATTTCAACTGTTTCGGCGTGATCTGGTTAATCTTGGAGTCCTCACAATATTTACCAACTTTGGATGCAAAGGATATGAAATCCTCTGAATCACTTTCAACAAGTTGAATACACTGAGTATTGTATACTATCATTCTGCTACTGAACATTTGTTTGAGCGTCAGAATAGTATATTCAAAATTCATATCTTTTTCTCGAAAATGATCTGACCTTCGCTGAATTTGATAATTTCTCTGCATCTTTCAAGAAAAGACTTTCGAACCGCTTGTACGATGATTTGGAAGTTGAGCCTGTTTTTGGATCGTAATTGGATTCGGTGATGGAGTTTCTAAGATTATTCATCCTGAGTTCTTCACTCACATCTGTAAGCATTCTAGAAGTTTTTCTGAAGCTGCTTGCAAGGTTAACAAAAAATTCTCGTTGGTTTTTGAGGAAAAGTTATTGTTGCTTCCAGACTTGCTCTTGCTGAGATTTGATGAAACCAAGTAGTGTTTGTTGTATGTCCGCTGCGTCCATGACACTTGACAACTCCTGATAAAACAAACCTATCAAAACATTCAATACAGAGTGGTAATAGTTATCGCTTTTTCTGTATGGAATTTATATAGTATACTACATATCGCTATACTACACTTTTCGGCGTGAACGAATGTAGTGGAG